TGTGTATGAAAAATAGCAATTAATCACTATATTTTTTTTAAAATTTTGAAGCCCCTTTTAAAGTACATTTTTATACAATTCCTATACATAAATTCTTTAATGATTCTCTACATATAACTATTTATAAAATTGGGAATAATTAAAAGAAAAATTGTCAGTGTTTTCTAGACATGAGATTTTTACTATAAATAACTTTATTAAAGTAAATACTAAGCCAATGGTAGGGCTCTTTGTTTAATAGCGCCTCCAATTTTTATAGCCACATTGGCATTCCATCCGTGAAATATAGAGATGACTTCATTCTCTAGGAAGAATAATAATTGGCCTTAACCTTCCTATCACTTTCTTTTAACTCAAAGTACTAATGCAATTGAAGGCAGGCACAGATAAATAAAATCTCTGTAGGAAAAGAATGACAGTGTGAAAGCCTACCTCCAAATTACCCCCAAAAGGCATAGTACAACGTGTTTCAGGATTCCAGTTCAATAAATTACTGTCCCACAGCTTGAATGGAAAGCTACTAGTATTTTTGTTTAAAGAAACTCAAATTTTAGTGGACATAAGGCTTTTCTTCTCTAACATTTTAGATGGAAAAACAAGACCAATATTAAACAAAACCCCAGCAATTCCAAATGAAGCATTGTTTAAAGCATATTATCCATTTACATATTTATTAGCTATGCCTTTATTACCATGAAACTAAAACATCTCAACAACTTTCTTGTTGCCAACTAATTCTGATTTTCCACAAATAACATGCACAACTGAACAGCAGCATTATTGGAAATCTCATTTGACTTTGTCAAGTAGTTTTGTCAACTAAGACAGTTGCTATGCTTATCTCTTGCCCCTTTCTTTTTTATTCCTTCACTGACGGTATTCACCATGCTGTGTCCGGGAGTGTGAACTTCTTTGGAGTCTTGCCTGGGAATGTTGCCATATTTTTTCAAATACAGGTCAATGGTGGGACAAGGCAAAAGTTTTAGACCATTTTTCCAAATCAAGGTCTATAGGAAGAAGCCTGCGGACTGTCATATTAGAGTCCATATTTCCCTTTCCAACACAAATGATTAGTAGCGTTATCTCCGCCTTTGCTTTGCTTCTTTTAGGTAATTACAGCAACTCCAGGGGGGCAAGGCGATCCTGCGACCTTACAAGCAGCACACACACCTCCACCCAAGACATGTACACACTCGGATACCCCCCCCCACACACACACACATACACACCAGAGAACAAAGTATGCAGGAAGCCAAAGCTCTGAACTTTGCCTAGAAATCGTCCCTTCTGCCAACCATCACCCAAAGTACACCTGGCCAATTTAAACTTGGGTAGTAACATATTTTATTGGTAACTGCAGTAGGCACCTTCATACTCCACAAGACAAACCCCGCAGCGGCAGCAACCCCTTCCCTCTCTCCCGGCGCCAGCGACTGTCTGAGCCCGCGGCTCCGCGCATCCGCGATGTCGCACCCACTCACCGCGTCTGCAGGCGCAGTAGCCCCAGTCCACCTGGCCACGCGCGTTCGCGTAGAAGCACCAGGGTCTGCTCGTGCCGTCCGGGCTCCAGCAGAAGTTGTGGCGCTGCCCTCGCAGCTGAGCCCAGCCCGCCGGGGGCGACCGCTCCAGGAAGGGCGGCACCTCCGCCCAGTGCAGGCACCGGGCGCCCAGCTCCGTCACGTTGGCTCCGCGCTGCCCCGCGAAGCAGCCCCCGGGGGGTGGCCGCGGCGAGAGTCCAGCCTGGAGCGCTTGCGGGCGCAGGGCAGGGGCCGCCCGCCGGGGACAGAGGGGCGAGGGAGGCGGCCGGTGGTCGGGGTAGTGGGGACCTGTAGGGGGCGAGTGGCGGTGGCGGAGGCACAGCGGGTAACTGAGGCTCGGACCAACGCTGAGCACCTCAGGGAGCGCCCCCAGCATCAGAGCCAGCAGGCAGCGCGCGAGCGTCATGGTGCCAGCACCGCGGGGTCCGGTCCATGCTCCAGCCGTAGTGAGGAGGGAGGCAGGAGGGGCGGGGCGGGCGCTGCGTCCTGGACCCCGCTCCCCGACCCTCGGCGCCCGCGCGCCGCCCCCCGCACTCCTGCCTTGCGCACCCCTGGAGCCAGGCCGGCCCGGGCGGGGACCTGCGCTCCGCCGGTCCAGTACAGAGGACGCCGAGCCGGGCGGCGGCAGGACTTGAGCCCAGGTAACAAGCGGGGGCGGCAGCCGGGAACTCTGCCCCCTGGCTGCGGGCGCGGGGCGCGCAGTGTCGCCGGAGCCCGACCAGACCCGCTGGAGGAAACGGCCCACGCGAAGACAGCCCGGGGTGCCCCTCACCAGCCTGGCAGGAGTCCCTACAGCATCTCTTCTCCACCCTGACCTGCACCTCGTTTTCTCTATTTTGAAATCTTCAGCAAAGTGTGTGTGAATGGAATTACAGGCCACTGTCCGTGTCATTTGCCTACAATCTTGATTTGAAATTTAATATCACTGTCTTAATTATTTTTCTTTGCTTTAAAAAATGAAACAGAAGGTATGACTACAAAAAAAAAAAAAAATGCACCACAGCCCCCAAGGCATGTGACAGTCATTTTCCTCAACTGTGAGCTCAAGGACAAAACTGTATCTTCTTTAGCTTCGTACCTCTGTGCTTAACACCGTGCCCCAATAAAACAGTGGGCGAACCAGAGAAAGGAGCTTGAGCCGCTCGGCTTCCTGCCTCCCACTCCACCGGGTGCCCTGGACGCTGCCAGCTGTTGGGTTATTATTGGGACCGAGTGAGGCTCTTACTACCAAATTTCCTCTCTAACCAGAGAAGATTTCATCCCTCCCTCCCGGTCTCCATCCTATCCAGAGAAGCCCATGCCTCCAACACCTGCCTGGTTTTAGCAGGGTAAGGGACTTTCGGGTTATCCTGCTGTGCTGTCCCAGAGCGGACTCTGTGATCATTTTGCAGCTCAGTGCTCCACTGTAGCCTCGCTGGGTCCTCCAACAACTACGCCAACTGCAAGGACCAAAGGAAACTAGAAGGTTGAAACATTAACTGGAGCTCAGTGTTTCAGGATTTCTCACCTTTCGGCTGTTGCTGATAGTGCCTCTGAAGTTATGCAAGGAAAAGGAAGCCCATAAAGAAGGCAGTATTTTACTTTCTGTCTTGATCATGGTTTTTTTTTCTCCATAATTTTATTGAGAAACAAATAGCAATAAGACAATTTCAAATCAAGTTGATAGGACAGTTTCAATAATTAACACATTGCATACTCTCTTCGTAGTGGTTATTTGCTGTATAAGATGCAGACATTATATCCTATTTACCAACACTATTAGAACAAATCCCTCTATTCATTAAGAGAATGTAACTATATATCTATCCTAACCATTTTGAATACACAATTGATCATGTTTCATTGTGGGAAAGGAATACTGTCCCGTCCCATACCCTGAAAAAAACTCGAACAGAATTTAAATGTTTGTTGTTAAAACTTAGGTATCAATAAGAAGGGGAAAATCATTATAGCTTTAAAGAATTCACCTTTGTTTAAATTTTGTGAATCATCTGATTAGGGATTTTTCACTCCTGTTACTTTTAATAAAATATTTAATCTGCTTCAGAGAGTTGGGTAAATAGAAGGGCACTGTGAATCACCTGTTCAGCTTTGTACCCCTGCCCCGTGCTTGCCACCACACCATGCCCCCATAAACAGTGGCCAAAACAGAGAAAGGATTCTGAGCCTCTCTGCTTCCTGCTGCCCACTGCACGGGTGCCCTGAGTGCAGAACGACTAAATGTAAAGAACAGTTCATTAAATCTTCATCAAATGTTTTTTCTTCCAGATGCCCTTATCCATTATTTTGTCATTTACCAGCACTTTTGCTGACTGAAAAAGCTCCGCTGAAACTGTAGAAGAGAGCAAAAGGCAAAACAGATATCTAGGGTGACAGTGTGCCTATTGCAGATTTTGACCTAGTAGGTGACATGGTTAATGTTTCCTTTCAAACTGTCTCTTCCACCTTAGGCTCCACCTGATGGCCCAGGCCAGCCTCCTCTGGAATTCAGGCGGCTTTGCTTGGACCTTGCCCTTCGTCGTTTCCTAGGTGATTCCTACAGCCACTGATTCCACTCTTGCTGGAGGAAGGGACCGAATTCCCACACGTCTGTGTACCTCGCAGGGGTGGAATTAATGGGAAAGAAATGAATGAAAGAGAAGGTTGGTGGAACTGAGCTCCAGAGAGGACCAGGGCCTGAGCCAGAGCCGGCCTTTCCTCCATCTCCCTGTACTGAAAAAGAGCTAAAGATTCTCCAAGCCTTCCTCACATTTAACAGACTGTAAAGTTGATATATACAAAGGGAGTTGCCCACACACAAAAAAATCCCACATCTGGATTTCATCATCTAAATTTTAAAACATATATTTATTAGAAAATAAAATAACATTTATGCACTTGGACCACAGATTTTTAAGGACCTCAATTTGGGTTTCTTTTATTTCTCAAGCAAAATATAGTTTAAGTAGATCTATTCTTCACATATTATTCTCCTCTTCTGCTAATGTTTCCCTTTCATCTCTCCTTTCATTCCTCCTCATTGCTGCCAACAAGCAGATGTTTAGGATTTCTAAATCCCAGGCCAACCCCCAAAGTGCACCCCTTCATTGCATCACAGTGGGTTGGAGCTAGGAAATTTTGTAGGAAGAAATTCTTTTTGACTGCTAATATTAGGCCCCTAACTAGCCACACCTCCATCTGCCAGTTCTTACCACCTCTGTCATAGATAACAGAGCAAAAGAGGGGGGCACCAACTCCTTCTTGCAACTGTAAGAAACCCACAGCTGCTTTGCCCTGTGTTTTCCCTGAGCAACAGCAAAGGGACAGCAAACAGAGGCAGAAAGAACCAAGCAATATCTTGCAGACATTTCACAACTGGAAGCCCTCAGGAGGCCCTTGCAATCCTCTTTTATCACCTCCCAGTTTATCAAGCAAGCTTACTAATTTGCAGACCAATAATTCAGTTTCATTGAACATTCTGGTGGAGCCGAGATCCAGAACCACAGTTGGAGCCAGAGGGAACTGAAGAGAGGACTTTCCCTTTCCACATCACAGGAGGAAGGGTGGGTCCTCTTGGAGAAGCACAGGGAGTCCCCTACCCCTGATATCTGTGGTTCCTACGGCAACTGTTAAGAGTAACTGTTTGGTTTTGCAGTGGTTTAGGGACTCATTTACTTAATATGCACATTGGGCTAAATGGCTTCTGTGCAGTATAACTTGGAAATGTACCCACTGCTTAAATTATTTTTAGAGTTCTGAAAACCAATACACAAAATAACTTTTAGAAAAGGCCCCTGGCAGAAGCACCTGTCTGGCAAGTGCTAGTTTCTGACTTGGACCCCAAGTAAAAAAAAAATATATAATAATAATAAATAAATAAATAAATAAATCCAGATTATGATTAGAAGTTCAGGAGGGTATACATTAAGTTTACAATAAGTTTTTGCTATCTGTGAGCATGTCACTGAATAACAATTATATTTCATTGAAGGTTTTTTAATCAAAAAAAAAAAAAAAGGAAAGAAAAAAAAAGAAAAGGCCCATTCACAATTTAGGTACTGCCTGTAGCTGGAAAAGGTGAGAGCCTTTAGATATATGGCATAAAAGCAGTGTTTAAGAATTCCAAGCATAAAAACATTTGTTAACACAGAGCACTGTTCTCTCACATCAAAGAAGAAAAAACATCAAATCCTATTAGGGCCTGTCTCTGGGGCTGTGGGCAATGCGGTAGCAGCAAGTGCTACACTCTCTCAGCCGGTGTACTTTGGCTTGTTAGTTGCCCCAGTAACAGTTCCTGTTGCATTCTAGTTGCTCCTGTCTCTTAGAAACGGCTGGTCGCTGGGATGCACATGGTATAAACCGATCTCCAGTTGACAAGCCATTCTGCCTCTGTACCTTCGGCTTGCTTATCTCACAGAAGCCCTCAACCACAGAGATCAGGGCCTGATAATCTGGGAATGATTCTGATTGGTGCCTGCTGACATAAATAAATCTGCCTCCAAATCATTTTGATGTTTCTGCTTGCTGTAGCATTCTAAATTGTAAGATGTTGCCAGGATCTCCAAAATGTGAAAATACTCCATTTAATTAAAAAATCAGCAAAATCGGAAGTGAATTGCCATCGTATCCTTAACTATTCAAACTAAGTCACCCTGTGCAAACCTCCCTCAATTCAGCACAGTAATCCACATTTCTCTCCCCACTATGCTTTCATTTCCCCTCTCTTCTCTGCTCACTTAAGCTCTTACAGTCTGTTTTTCTCAGTGAACGCAGCATCGCAAGTAAAATGTTTTTCCTGAGGACTTCGCCTAATCTTAAGGAGTGACTCCAAGTCCCTCAGCCTTATGATTGCAAGTGGGCTGCAGCCACATATGAAAAGAATAAAGAGATGGAAAGAAAAGCAACACTTCAACCTCTTGCCAGTATTGTTGAAAACAGAGAATCTCAGTGTTGAAAAGGACTTCGAGTCCAACTCCCTGTCAAATGTAGGAATCCTGTCCAGAACTTGACAAGTGGATCTGCACCTATATCTTGAAAATTAATTGTGGGGAAATTCCTACTTGGAACCCTGTATACTCTTTCTCTAGAAGCTCGAATGGCCAGAGAAAGTATTCCTTTTTTTAGCAGCAAAAGTTGCCTTCAGATAGAAACCTTCTTATGTAGCAGTGATTCTGGCTCCAGCCTCCTATTGTTTGGAAATGGGGAGGGGGTTGGGGAGTGGGAGTGTACAGCTGTAGACTCCCGGAGGCCTGGGGTCCAATCTCTGCTAGGTCATTTATTGGGTTTTTGGCCTCCAGACTCATTTATTTCCAGCTTGTCTTTATCCTGAAGAACTGCGTTGGCTTAGAGAGTGCAGAACCAAGAACATTAATTACTCCACATTTGTAGGGTCTCATAATGGTACTGACCATGTCATTCATATATCGGTAGATAGAGATGCATCAGTATCAGCATTAATAGTCAATATTCTATTTTCCTTCCTTTCCTTAATGTGTTTTTCCTCATGTCAGTTTTGGGATTTTGATTCCATAAATAAAGTAAGGTTTGGTCCAGTTTGAGGTGAAAGGAAGAAAGAGAAGCTGTTAGCCATTTGGCCCAGCTGCTAGAACACTAGGAGGCAAGCCCCTAGCTAAC